TTTCCCTACGCTCTCTGCTTTATCTCCAGGGACAGGGAGGTATTTCTTGGACTAACAAGGCCAGTTTCTCATAAGCAAAGCTGGATGGAAAATTCTACCCCTGCCTGGGTGAGGTACTGCAAATGCCATTGGAAATGTGATATCTTTTCTTCCATCTTTTCTGTTTTCTTAAACTTCTGACGGTTTGTTCCGTGATTTCTTTTTTAAACGAAATCTGATAACCATCATTCATTCAGGATACAGAGATTTACCGCAGAGAAAGAAAATAAATCCTAAACATATTCACCTTTCCTTTGTTGGCGCATAAATCTGCCGTTGAGGCCATTTATCTGGCTTCTGCATGGCCAAAAACTATCGCAAATAACGTGAGATGAGTACATCCTAGCAAGGAATTCCCTGGGTGTGAGTTAGAGCAGAAATTGAAGCCTTTAAATATATTTCATGAGCTGAGAATTGAATGTCTAGGCCTGGAAATTACTTTCTAACTATCTGCACAGTAGACAGAGGATGAGCAGTGCAGCACTACCATCTACCGAGGGAGCTCAGAATTGCTCGGTGGTACCTCGGGCTTTGGGTATAAAATAATTCAGATTCTCCTTCAGGTGAGGAGGGGTGTGTGGAAACAGGGGTTTTTTGGTTGTTTTTTTTTTCCTTTTGTAGGCCCCAAGGTCGGACACCATCTCGTTTGGCAGCCCTGAGATTGCAGTCGTGTCACTTGTTTTGCAGAGGTGACGGCAAAGCTGACTCAGATGGGCTTTGGAAGCATTTCCATGTGTCGGATTTTTCCAGGCAGTTCTCTTTGAGATATGTTTTTTTAACCATTATAAATGTTTCCCGTGAATTTTTCTTTCAATAACCCTATGGAAAAAAGAAAAAAAAGACTACAATTTTCTTCCTGGCCAGACTGAGGTAGTAAAGTTGTCCTGGTTTCGGCTGGGATAGAGCTAATTTTCTTCATAGTAGCTAGCATAGTGCTGTGTTTTGGATTTAGTACCAGAAGAATGTTGATAACACACTGATGTTTTCAGCTGTTGCCAAGTAGTGCTCAGACTACTCAAGGACTTTTTGAGCTTCTCCTGCTCGCCCAGGTGCATAACAAGCTGGGAGGGAGCACAGCTAGCACAGCTAACCCAAACTGACCAAAGAGCTATTCCATACCATATAACGTCA